GGCCCCTTGGCAGTATTTTTGTGAACAGTTTTTGAAGTTTGTTCTGACCCTGCGGGGGGGCTCTTCTTAGCTATCTCTCCCTTGGGTCTGGCTGGTAACCTAGTTGATCCGTGGTTTAGCTTGTTGCCTACCAGCCTCCCCTTAATTACTCACCACCCACATCGCCATTGTTCGAGCATACTCTTGGCCTTGAACTTCCCCACATTCTGTTCCAAATAAAGTCACTTCTTTTGAGGACAGCTTTAGAGCTCTCTGTTTTATCTCTCTTTGGCATAACTTCTGAGCCACTTCCTGGAGTGAGGGGCAGGGACAGTGGCACGCTTGCTCAGAGTGCCCCCCACACACTTTGCAGGCAGGGTGCTGGCAGGGCCTCCTCCAGCAGGGAACCTCTGCGCAGGAGCACGCCGGAGGGAGGCACTCAGGGCGCCTGTGGTAGAGCCTCCATCCACCCTGCACGCGGGTGCAGGGTGCCCGGTGAAAGGAGGGAGCCACCACCTCCTGACCTGCTCTCCTGGTTTTAGCCTCTGCAGCACAGAGCTGGGAGGTGAGCTGGGAAATGCGAGCAGCTGCCCCTCCGCACCATAGCCCTGGACTGGGCGCTGGGGGACAGCACCCGCCTGGAGCGGAGCTTTCGTCACCCGGAGCTGGCTGGGGCAGGCAGGTCATAGGTGCCACAGACTTGCTGTTCTTACCGAGGTTTAGTTGATTTTCTTGAGTGAATGTTTCTCCATTTGCCATGTGCCCTCAGGACGATTTCCAGAGACTTTTAATGGTTGGTTGTTTTTCATTTTTGCCAGTTATGGTTGTTTCGCTGGGGATCCAGCCTGCGGTGCTCCTCCTCACGGATGCCGGCCCTCTCCCCGCCGCTTTTAAATACTATGTTTAAACTTTTGTTTCCTGAATTGTCAACTTTAGAGATTATCTGTTGACTCACTGACATAAAAAGGAGGAAATTAGTATTATGTCCTTCCTTCCCTCTCTTTCTCTCCTTTGAGTCTCAGTTTGGGCCGGATATTTTACTTTTTTATGGCCAAACTTTAAAATGATTATATTCTATTCTGTAACTATAATTTAATTTTCATTTCTTTGTAGTTGATGATATGAAGAAAAGGCTGATAATGAACATTTATAGAGTAATGAATATGTAATTATTTTTCACTGTGGAACCTAAGTCATCCTGAATATCTTGACTATCTTTGAGGACACTAGTTAGAATTTTTGTTGGTTTGGTTTCCCGCCCCCGGGAATAACCTCGGCCGAACCGGAAACAAGCCCCTGCCCGGCCCGCCCCGCCCCTCCCAACCAGGCCGAAGGGCCTCCCCCCAAGGCCGGGAAGGCCCAAAAGGCCTCAACGGTTCTTGGGGAACGAAGCATTCTATTGTTGGATCTGGGTGGTCGGGTGCTCGTCTCCAGTCCTGGGTCTGTCTCCAGCAGGTGTCTCCCTGCAGGAAGGACTCGCTCGGCGCTCCGCAGAAGGTGGCAGGAGCGTGAACGGCAAGCGGGACAGACCCCACCCCCGTCTCTGTTTCTCTCCTGGGCGCAGTTGCTTTCCTTCGCTTCTCCGAGTTCTGCAGCTGTGTCAAGCTCTTCCCCTTCTTCTAGCTCCTTCTCCTGTCCTAGGAGCCTGCCTTTTGCCTCTTGTTACTGTCTTGAGCCTGGCGGGCTCTGTCTCAGTCTCAGGCCAGCACCTCTGCCACCTACTTGGTAGGCGTGAGGTGGGGGTGCCTGGACATCTGAACCCCCAGCCTCGGCAGCCGGCCTCCGGCTCTGCCCACATGCTGCTCGTTCTGAACTTGGGTGGTCACTGGGTCCTCTCAGTGTTCCAAGGGGTTTTCCCCTGCGCCTATTACTCCAATGCCATCATCTTCCTATATTTGGAGGATTCCTCAAAATTATTGGTTCACAGGTGATACCCTTTTTTGACATTGTTTTGATTTGCTTCTTATTTAGAGAAATATCTGTTCTCCCATTTCAGTGGGACCCTGAAGGGGCAGTGGATACATTTGTCTTCCACGTTTTAAACTGGAGAGCTCACGCTACCTCATCTGCTCACTTCCGTCTGTAGTATCGAGGTCCTAAGTGCCTGGAGCAGCACCAGGCACACAGAAGACGCTTCGTAGACGTAGATTCAGTGCTGAGGGGTGAAGTTGGGTGTCCGGAGCACTAAGATGCCCACAGAAAATGAGGGCGGCTGTCATCCCTACCCCATTACCTCCTGGGTCCCTCCGGATGCAGAAAGGAGTGTGTGTCCCATGAAACAAACACCACCTGAGGCTGCATTAAAGAAGCTCCCGAGTCAGAACAGCTGAGCGATTACTTCTGGGTGGGTTACGATGTGTGGCTTAGTTTCCTCCATTATAATTTTCGGAACTTTGACAATAAATTGCTTTTATAATTGTGGGAAATAGTTTTGTTAAGCTCTATCTTAATGAAATGTCAAGAGAAATGAGATCGTATGGCTCACCTTGGTACTTGTGCTTTGTTTCTCAGAGGTCACCTTTGTCCCAGTGTCCAAGGTGAGCGGGCGGGCAGAGGCCGATGACATCCTTTCAGCTGTCCGCCCAACCACGTGCCTCGTGACCATCATGCTGGCCAATAACGAGACCGGCGTCATCATGGTGAATTGGCCTTTTTTCTTTTTAAGAAAATCTCATGGGAAGAAAGGTGGCTTAGACTCTGATGGTATTTCATGTTTCTCAGCTTTGGCCTCTCCTTTTTCTCTGCTCTTCAATTTTGTAAGCTTTTGTCTGTGTTCATTAACTACTGCTTATTTGTTTCATTCAGACTTCATCAAACCTAGCACCAGACTCAGCAGTTTATCTCTCCCCACTAGCCCGTCCCTGAAATCAGCCAGCGCATCAAAGCCCTGAACCAGAAACGGGCCGCCGCGGGGCTGCCACCCATCCTCGTGCACACAGACGCTGCCCAGGCGCTGGGGAAAAGGCGCGTGGACGTGGAGGACCTGGGCGTGGACTTCCTTACAATCGTGGGGCACAAGGTACGTCTGCAGACGTGGCCTTCCTTCCTGGGGGAAAATGTCTCATTGATTTAAAGGCCCACCTGAGAGCCCGCAGCACGGGGGATCGTGCATTTGTTGACCAGTGAGCCTTGCGCGCCTGCCATGAGGAAGGCCCTGGGGGTGCTGCAAGGAGCAGCTTCCCGACCAGGAAGCCAGCAGCAGTTAGATGGCCACGGGACAAGGGCCAGGACAGGGATGCAGGGAGGGAGTGGGGGCAGCGGGCAAAGCTGGGGGAGGCATGGAAGTCTGTGGAGCGAAGACAGGCGGGGATTAGCCAGGTACTGCGTGTTCGCTGCAGCAGGCAGGACATGTGCAGAGGCCACATCAGCCACACATAGAGCCCCCAAGACAGAAGATGCGGGGTTCAAGAAATTGCTCTTTCTAACTTGATTTAAAAGGTGGCTCCGCCCAGGGGCAGTGGCTCACGCCTGTAATCCCAGCACTTTAGGAGGCTGAGACGGAAGGATTCCTTGAGCCCAGGAGTTCCAGACCAGCCTGGGCAACATAGCGAGACCCCATCTCTACAGAAAAATAAAAAACTTAGCCAGGCGTCGTGGTGCACATCTGTAGTTCCAGCTACTCTGGAGGCTGAGGCAGGAGGATCACACGAGCCCAGGACTTTGAGGTTGCAGTGAGCTATGGTGATGTCACTGCACTCCAGCCCGAGTGACAGAGCCGAGACCCTGTCCCAACAACAAAACATGGCTCCTCATCATAAATTCAGTGGCTGTATCTTTAAGATGGAGTGTGAGAAATAGCTAATAGTGAAGACCCTTCTGAAGCTTTTGCTCTTCTTTCTGGCAGCTGACTAGGACCTGAAATGTTTGTATTACTCTATTTTGAAGCACAGTCCTCAGCTAGTTTCCAAAGGAGTGTGTAGGTTGGCCTGACACTGTGACACCTAAATGTTTTGCATCATATCATTTGGAAACATGGAGTCATACGCAGGAAAAGCCCTCTGCAATCTCTGCTTCCAACTTCTCTCCTTTTACAAAATTTGTCACATGATTGCAGGGAGCTCTGCCTGCCACGGAACTGGGAACGAGAGTCCAGCAGCTGCCCTGCCTGTTAGGTTGGGGTTCTGCCCTTCCTCTGAAGTCTTTTGTGACTCCAGCACGTCAAAAGCAGCGATGGGTGGCGCGGTGAGGGCCACAGGGCAGCACCAGGACTGTGCGTTATGGGCCGTCCCTTCCACGTGCCTCTAAGCACTTAGCACGGACACAGAATAGGCCTTTGGAAAGTTCTTTTTGAATAAATGACTGACTTTCCCTTCCAGTTCTATGGTCCCAGGATTGGTGCGCTTTATGTACGAGGGCTTGGCGAGCTCACGCCTCTGTACCCTATGCTGCTTGGAGGTGGACAGGAACGGAATTTCAGGCCTGGGTAAGGTAGAAAGTTAACAGTCTCTTACCTACTGGCCATGCCACTTATCCGTAGCACAGCAGCATTTTAAAGCAGCATTTTGCTATTTCTTCTGTCTCTTGGGAGGTCGGTGATAGCACATGCTACTAACCCCAGACTTGGTTGCCAGTTGGTTTCTACACTGAGAACTCGCGGGGTCTGCAGTCTCTTTGGGGTGATTCGAAGCAGTGGAGGAAATCTGTTTCTTTTAACTGCTTCAGACCCTCTAATTGCCCTTGTTGTTTTGGCCCAGTGCACTAAAGAGGTGCCACTGGACCTGTCCTGGCTGAGGGCGCTGCTGTCTCCTGACCAGGGGGTGTCGGCCAGGCCCCGTAAACGCTCCTTCCTCTTAGCTCCCAGGCCCCGTTACGCACAGTGACGTGTTAACTGGGGAATTAGTTGGTACCAGCACCAGGCTTTTTGTCAGAAACCTCATAACGAGGGAGAAACCGGAACAACATGGTGGTGAGGTCCCTGGGTTTTCTTTTCACCTCACGTGTCCACACTTAGAGCTGAAGGAGCCAGCAACCCAAAAACGCCAGTAAGGGCAGACAAAAAAAATGCCCTGACCAAAACCTGCTCTCTCTAACCAGTGGCCCATGACAGGGGCAGCCTAGCCAGACAGAAAACTCACAGACAGCGCCTGCTTTACTCCGGCCAGTCATTGCAGGGCGGGGGCTGCCACCCCGCACAGCAGCAGGGGTCACGTAGGACGCCCAGACTCACACCCACACGGCTGTGAGAGGACGTCCCCACCAGCCAGTCATGAGGCAGCCCCATGTGGTGCGGGCCACACGGGATCCCGGGCTGCCGCCTGCACCTGTCAGTGACAAGGAGCCTTCCTCTGGGCGTCAGCACAGGTGCGCAAGGAACCTGGACTCCGCTTCCACTTGGCAATAATGAAGCGACTACTCCTTCTCCAGCCAGCACGGCGTCTGGACGAGCCAGCAGAAACGGAAAGGTTAAGGAAGGTCCAGACTCTACCAATATGAAAATGCCCAGGATTCACATGATCATCATTCCAAGAACTAGAAAGATCTCAGATTGAATGAAAAAAGACAATAAATGGCTGCATCAGATGACAAAGAGGTTAAGATTTGCAGCAGACACAGAAATGCTTCCGTGAGGAGTTATGAGCACACTTGAAACAAATGAAGTAGATAGAAAGTGTCAGGGAAGAGAAAAGATGTGAAGAATCACAGGGAAATCTCAGGACTGAAAACCCCAGTAGCCAAAATAAACCGCTCAGCGGGTGGGCTCAGCAGCAGAATAGAGGAGACGAAGGAAAGCACCAGTGCCCTGAAAGGTGGAATGAGAGACAGGAAACAGACTGGGGTCAGAGTGGACCAGAGCTTGAAGCCCCGGGCCACTATCACAGATGGTGTGACATTCATTTTGTTGAAGTCCTTGAGGGAGAGGAGTAAGAACAGGCTGGAGAAGTAGTTGAAGAAATAACGGCTGAAAACCTTCCCAGATTGGTGAGAGTCACAAACCTGCAGTCAGGAAGCTGAGCAAACCGCAAATGGGGTAGACCCAACACAGTCCAGGCCAAACCTGCAATCAAACTTCAAAAAATGAAAGACAGACGGATCTTGAAAGAGAAAAATGACACCTTTACCGATAGGGAAAAACAGTTTGAATGACAGTGGATTTCTCATCAGAAACCACAGAGGCCAGAAGAAAGTGGCCCGAAAATTCTCAAGTGCTCAAAGAAAACTGTCAGGCCAGAGTACCTCACCGGCAAAGCTATCCTTCAGACATGAGGGAAAGTCAAGACTTTCTCAGACAGAGAACTGAGAGAATTTGTCACCAAATACAACAGGATTTCCTTCTCCTTAGTTTTCTAACTTGTGCTTGATGGCATGAGCAAAAATCACAGCCATGTCTAATGTGGTTCTAAACATACATAAAGGAAATATTCAAGACAATTACCGAAGGACAAAGGTAAAGGAACAGCAGAGAGACAAGGTGTCTACACTTCACTCAAACTGGTAAAACCACAGTACCAGTAGGCTGAACAGTTTTATAAATATCTATAATGTATTAATAATTCCTAGACTCTAGGTCCTAGAGCAACCACTAAAAAATTATACAAAGAGATAAAAGACAGACTCAAAAACATTATGTATACATCAAAATCAAATTCTGAAAAATGTTAAGTAACCCACAGAAAGACATGAAAAAGAAAACAGAATTAAAAAACAGAACGAGGCCGGGCGCGGTGGCTTACACCTATAATCCTAGCACTCTGGGAGGCTGAGGTGGGAGGATTGCTTGGGGTCAGGAGTTTGAGACCAGCCTGAGCAAGAATGAGACCCCGTCTCTACTAAAAATAGAAAAAAATGAGCCAGTCAACTAAAAATAGAAGCAAAAAATTAGCCGGGCTTGGTGGTGTAGCTCCTGTAGTCCCAGCTACTCGGGAGACGGAGGCAGGAGGATCGCTTGAGCCCAGGAGTTTGAGGTTGCTGTGAGCTAGGCTGACGCCATGGCACTAGCCAGGGCAACAGAGTGAGACTCTGTCTCAAAAAAAAAAAAAAACAAAAAAACAAAAAAGAGAATGAATAGGAAACAACAACAAAACAGTGGCTTCAGCCCTATCCCATCGTCATGCTGTCGGCCAAAGGGAACAGTGTTGGGGACGAGCTCCTCAGACTCCGTGGTTTGGCAGTGGGGACCAAAGAGAGGCGTGCCCTGGCCCCTGCAGCAAGAGGGCTTCCTTTGGGTAGAGAAAGGGTCCAGATAGTATTTCCCCTGTGGACACCCAACATGCGTCGTCCACGTGGGCCGCGCCGACCACCGTCACTGGGCCAGGACAAGTCGGACTTTGCGTGGGAGGTGTTTGGGGCGTCCGTGCAGCACATGCTTGGGAAAGATGTTGGTGTGAGTTTGTTTTTATCTAACACAATGACTTCCATGCGGACAGGATTCCTTCCTTCAACATTTGTTTGCGCTTACTCCCTCTTCTCTTGCAGGACAGAGAACACCCCAATGATTGCCGGCCTTGGGAAGGTGAGCCTTGGCGACTTTGAGCAAATGAGTCAGTTGCCTTGTCCTCAGTTTCCCCAGCGGCTGGCATAGGAACCCAGGGCTTTAGGGAGGTTATGGGCATGATTCCATTTTTAGACTGGTAAGGAAAAGCCTAAGATTTTGTTCACCATCATGGAGAGCTGTACTTTTTGAGATCTGTGGGGCAGCTTGCACTGCTTGGCATTTAAAAGGAAGAAGCTCTCTGCCTTTGTCTCTTCTAATGTAAGAAACACAGTGACGTCATCACGGCGGAGGTGGAGCGTCAGGCTGCAGGTTTGCGCTCCCGCTGGCGCTGGAAACCCTGAGTGGCCTGTGGGGTCTGGGGCCGTCTGGTCAGGTGTGGCCCCGTGGCCAGCTCCCTGCTGGGGCCTGTTCTGCTCACAGGACAGTAGCCAGGTTTGTGACAGAGGCAGGGATGCAGTGACGCCTCCAGTGTCTGCAGCTGTCCTCCCTGCACACAGGCCTCTGCTCCAAGGCCACTTCTTCCGAGCAGCCCTCTGTGAGCTACAGCTACAGCAGCCCCTCTGTGACCCCTCACTGTCACTCTGTCCCTTGAGCCTGCTTTTCTGCCCCCGTTGGATGTTTTATCCGTACTCTATGTATATATGCCGCCCCCACTCCCCCTCTCAAGGGGGCTCATCAGCTCCGCGAGCAGGGCCTTGGCCTCGTCTGCCTCAGTACCCCCAGTACAAAAGAAAGGGCTTAGCGCCTAGTAGGCCCTTGGGAAGAGTTCGAATGGATTGACTGTTTCTCAGGAGATTCAAAATTATACTCTTAACTGAACACAGTTGCACTGAAACCTTGTACTGAGGTAACTTAGGCAGCGTTTACTAGAAGTAAGAGTGTTCCAGCACCCTCAGCTGTCTGTGGTGGGGACGTAGCCCAAACACGGAGACCCTAATTGGGCACCCGTTCCACACACTGTGGGCGGGGCTGCCCCGCACTCAGGTTCTCCCTTCCGAAGTCCAGGAAACACCTTGGTCCTCCCTTGTCCTTGCCCCTGCCTCTCGGGCAGTGCCAGTCCGTCTCCAGAATATGTCCAGGACCTTCCTCTTGTCTGTCCTCATGGCCACCAACCTTAGACCAAGGGTCTGGACGCCTGCCTCCGCTTCTGTGGCTCTGCTGCTGCCATTGTCCACACGGCCGCTGAATGACCAGTAAACACACAAATCAGGGCATCATGTCCCGTCCTCCGAACTCACTGCACTTGCCTTCGTGTCCAGCCGTTGCATCTCCCCCTTGTGCATGCTCTGTCCGCCACACCAGGCCCCTGTGTTCCGGGGCACAGCTGTCCCCCTGCAGGGCTGTTGCTGGAATGCTCTCCCCACCCTCACACAGCCCACTCTGTTGGTCCCGTCCCAGCGCTGACCCAGTCGTAGGAGTCCGTCCACCTCTGCCCTTGTTCTTGTCCCTCTCTCCTCTGGGACGTGGGCTTTTTAAGGATTGGGAGCCCCCAGGCCTCACTTGCTATGGTATTTCCAGTGCTCGGTGCCACCAGAAGGTGCCTGGTAAATTCCGGGCAGCACTTCTCACATAACACCAAAAAGTACCGTTTATGATGCTCACGGGAACCCACAGTCTGACGAAGTGTCTCCTCTCGTGTCAGGCAAAACCACCTATCCTGTTTAAAGCTGTTTCACTGTCCTCTGTCTGTCAGTAATTGGATGTGCTTCCACACATTGTCACGTGTCTGTCCCCAGGCCGCTGAGCTGGTGACCCGGCACTGTGAGGCTTACGAGGCCCACATGAGGGACGTCCGGGACTACCTGGAGGAGAGGCTGGAGGTGAGTGCGAAGGGGCCTGGCCTGTGCCGGCGCCGGGGGGCGGCCAAGCACACGGCAGGGTCATGAGGAAAGAGGGCAGAGCCACAGAGAGAAGTGAGGGGGAGGCGGAAAGCCCGTCTTCTTCACAGACACACGATGAAGGTGTACCAGAGTCGTGTGTCTGATGGTTGTGTGCAGACGGTCCGACCTAATTCACTTCACTTTCCATAGTCAGTCCCCTAACTATTACAGGTAGATGCTTATGGATAATATAAATATTTACATGTTGAGGTTTTATTTCCCAAAGGAGTCTAAAGTTCATGCAGTTGCTGGCGGTGATGGGGTCTTTGAAGCTGTCACCAAATATGTCATTTATTTTTTTCAGGCTGTATTTGGTAAGAGAATCCATTTGAACAGCCAGTTTCCAGGGGCCGAGCGGCTTCCTAACACCTGCAACTTCTCCATCCGCGGACCCCAGCTTCAAGGTGACCACCTGCCCTGCTGGTCTCTGGTGTGTGCGCAGATCCCACCAGCCGCCTTCCCTCTCTTACTTAGCCCTGAGCGTGACACAGAAGGGCCTTGCCAGGGCCACTGGTCACCCCAGCCCAGCACCGAGAGCAGAACAGCCAGCCACTCTGTGGGCTCTTGTCAGCCCTTCTCCCCCACTTGGCCCCTCTCGCCAGCGTGTCGCAAGTGGACAGTGTTCAGGTCTCCTGCGAGACGTTAACACCCACCGAAAGCTGTCAGGGCAGGAAATAACACTAACCAAATTTTAGACCAGCTTGTCCATTTCTGTTAGCAGTTTTTATAAATATGTTAGGACAGTAAGGGAAATAGAGGCAATCAGCTTTAAAAAGTGGGTAACAGTTCAGGGTGAAGTGCAGGTCTATGGATTTCATTTGTTCCTGTGACATCTGCCTCCACGCTGGGCGCAGCCAGGGTCACTGCCGTCCCAACGCATGTGGAACCTGGCCCGCCTGCCTCCCTGAGCGCGCAAGTCCGGGGCATTCCAGCGTGTTTCGTCGGGGAGGAGGCCCTGGTGGCCTCGAGACCACAGTGAGCTACGTCTGCAGATGGGTTTTGACTTCTTAGAAGGGGTGTTGCTTCATTCACCTTCCTGGATCAGGCAGAGAAAGCTGGCGGTCATGTGGCCAGGAAGGAAAGGCCCTGGGCAGCAGGGTCGCGGCTGCGGCGGTGAGAACGTGCGGCACGGGCGGTTCGCCGTCCTGACTCCCCGCGCGAAAGGGAAGCTTCTCTATCGTCTTCTCCTTTCTCTGGGCACAGACTTTACGTTCAGTGATGACCTGTGTTAATTTAAACAGAAGAGATTCTCATAAACATTGATTTAACAATCTTTAATCTCTGTGCTTGTGAAAGAAAAGGGAAGTGCCTCGTAGCTTAGAAAAGAGAACTGCCCAGTGTGTCTACCTTAGAAAACACAGGTCAGAGTTAAGTATCACCAGAGCCACAGACTATTCAGTAGGGCAGCAGTGTGGTGGCTGTCGTGGAGGCAGTGGGCTCGAAACGCCCTGCTCAAGGCCAGCTCTGAGGCAGGGTGGTGTCTGCTTTCTGCAGCCCAGGGAGGGAGGAAGCATTTGCTTTGGACCCTGCCTTGAGTTCTCCTGTGGCGCTGGCCGGGCCTGCGCACTGACATTCCAGCCGGCAGCACAGAGAGGACGCGGGTCTGCGCGGCTCAGGAAGACTGGGGAAGGGAGAGCGGGTGGGCCCGGCCAGAGCCTTGGGGCTCAGGGGCGTGTCCCTGTCTCCGCAGGCCGCCTGGTGCTTGCACAGTGCCGGACGCTGCTGGCCAGTGTGGGGGCCGCTTGCCACTCAGACCACGGGGACCAGTAAGTGCTCCCCACAAACCCAGTCCAGGGCATGTTGACACTTTGGGCGCTGGGTGTGGTGGGCAGGCCACGGGATTGGGCCACTGCGGCCGGGCCTCCATGGAGCTGTGACAGTGCCAGTCCGGGGGCCCCAGTCTGGCTGGAAATAGCCCCATCCCTCGGTCACGGCTGACGCCCGGTCCCTCCACCCCTCAGTCACAGCTGGCGCCTGTTCTCCCCGCTCCAGGCCGTCCCCGGTGCTGCTGAGCTGTGGCATCCCATTCGACGTGGCCAGGAACGCGCTCCGGCTCAGCGTCGGCCGCAGCACCAGCCGGGCTGAGGTGGACCTTGTCATGCAGGACCTGAAGCTGGCGGTGGCCCAGCTGGAAGGCCAGGCCCAGTGTGAGGGCCACCCTTGTTCATAGGAAGCCCGTCGCCAGGGCACCCGGGCGCTTTGCCCTCCATCCCTTCTTGGGCTGTGCCAGGGTGACTGTTTTGTTTCTCCAAAGTGCTGGGTGCGGTGTGCGTGCTGTGGGCTTCCTCCCTGGACGCGCGTCTCCACAGGCCCAGGACACCAACCAACGCCTACATAGGACCCTCCCCCGCGCTGCTGCCATCCCATAGGGACGTTGAAATGGAAACGCTTCAGCCACGTCCACGCCACCCCCTGGGAATTGGACAAGCCTGTCATGAGCTTCCCTTCCTGGATGGTGGTGTTTTTATCTGGAAGATAAAATGCAAGTATTTATAATTCACTTTCAGCCAATCGCTATCATGAAAATAGGAAATTTTTAGGTCGGGCGCGGTGGCTCAAGCCTATAATCCTAGCACTCTGGGAGGCCAAGGCGGGTGGATCGCTCAAGGTCAGGAGTTCGAGACCAGCCTGAGCAAGAGCAAGACCCCCGTCTCTACTAAAAATAGAAAGAAATTATCTGGACAGCTAAAAATATATATATATAAAAAATTAGCCGGGCATGGTGGCGCATGCCTGTAGTCCCAGCTACTCTGGAGGCTGAGGCAGGAGGATTGCTCGAGCCCAGGAGTTTGAGGTTGCTGTGAGCTAGGCTGACGCCACGGCACTCTAGCCAGGGCAACAGAGCCAGACTCTGTTTCAAAAAAAAAAAAAAAGAAAATAGGAAATTTTTGCTTCCGTCATGGTCTCCCACGTGCATATGTCAGAGTAGTCCCCTCAGGGCCCTTCTCCAGCCCTTAACAAACGCCCCCTCGATCGACCCTGCCCTTTTGACCCAGCGTGCGGTGACCCCCAGCCAGGTGTGGCCCCTCAGCCAGGCCACTCTGCTCCCCGACCCCTGCCTGTCCCGTCGGGACACGCGCCAGCCTACAAGCCCTGTCCCAGTGCGTCACTCGGGCTGCAAGCCTGTGCGCTCCCCACCCTGGGGCTGAGGGCCTCCTTCCCTCCTGAGCACTCGCTTGGGCTCCGCTGCCACAGGTGTCTCCGAGTCCTGGCAGCCGGTGCTTATATGACTCTGGGTTGTGCCTGAGGGAGAAGATCAGATTGTCCCCAACCCGGCGTTCCTCCTAATTGTATTTGCGAGGGGTCCTTTTACCTCCACGAGATGCTCTGTGGCGTCCTGACACGCACCGCGTGCCGGATTGCACGGGAGCGGTTCCCAGTGCAGTGACACTTGTGTGCGGCTTACGGGGTGACACAAAGAACTGCATGATGCTGAGGAAACGACTGTCAGAAATTAAATGAATTAAAGATCTCAGGGCCCGGCGTGGCGTCTTTGTTTCTCCGTGGGTGCCGCGGTGCTCCGCCCGGCGCGGGGCTGGAGGGTGCGCCTCGCCCCGCTGTAGCGCTGTGTATGGTGCGTTAGCACGGGAACTTGAGCTTGGAATTGTGTCTCTGGGAGCTCCCAGAAAACAGGTCCCCAGTCTGTAGCTTCCTGCCACCTCTAGGAGAGGCCGTGGTGGCCCCGAGTCCCCAGCAGAGACTCTACAGCATCCAGACCCCTGAGAACAACCTGGAAAGAGGAGCTCGCAGCTCAGAAATGCGTTTGGGACTTTAGGCTGCAGCCCAGAGACTGGATCGCTGCGGCTGGAGAACGGCCTAGGCTGGAGCTGTGGGACCCTCGTCCTCACCCTGGAGCCTTCCTGCCTGGCACAGCTGGACTCTCCCAGTGTCAGGGCCCTGTGCCCATCGCAGGCCCCTCTAGGCCACCAGCTTCCCCGGAGGTTTATAAGGGTCTGCAGGGCCAAGGGCCACCAGAGGGCCAGGTTCCAGACACAGATTGCCCAGGGGCCCTCTGCTGTCTGGTGGGCTCATGGCCCAAACATCGAGACCCTGGTGGGGCACCCATTTGAAACACAGTGGAGGGGGCTGCCCTTCTGTGAGACTGAGGGGTACAGTCTCCCAGGGAGCCTCCACCCACCACCCAGGGCTCAATGACAAACGATGGCACGCATCCTCACCCTCTGACTGCTGCCCACCGCTGGCTAACCCAGTGCAGGCCCTGTGACCTGCGCCCCCACCCCCACTGCTTGGGCATAGGCCCTCCAGCGCTGTGGGAGTGGCTTGGGCAGGGCTGCAAGGGCCATCCCCAAGGCCTCAGCCTGCCGTCTCCCATCTGCCCTGCGTGCTGCTTATCAGGTAACCAGAGCCGACAGCCTCATCCACACCTGAAACAGGAGGCCCGGCCCTGTGTACGAGCCGCTGAGAACCGGAGCCCGAGGATGGAAGGGCAGCGGGCACTCACGGCCGCCAAGGCCGGGGATGTGGCCACCTTGGAGCATCTGCTGGAGGCCGGCGTCCTGGGCCCAGGCATCACTGATGCCCTAGGAGCCGGCCTGGTGCACCACGCCACCCGGGCCGGCCACCTGGACTGCGTCAGGTTCCTGGTACAGCGGGCCAAGCTGCCCGGCAACCAGCGGGCCCACAACGGGGCCACACCAGTGCACGATGCCGCCGCCACAGGCAGCCTGGCCGAGCTGTGCTGGCTCGTCCGCGATGGGGGCTGCGGTCTGCAGGTGAGCATGGACAGGGGCAGCCGGCAGCCAGTCCCCGTGAACTGGCTGGGATGTAGCTAGGGAGGCATGAGCCTCCCCGGAGGCCCTGGGCTCCTCGTTTCTCTCAGGACTCTGTCAGTGGTGCCTGTCTCTGCCCCACGCCCCTCCCATGTCCCCAAACACCACCAAGCCCTTGAGAGCCAAGGTCACCCCCTGAATCCCCTCCTCTGCCCCAACCCCATGCCAGGCAGAGAGAGACCACATTTGCCTTTGTCCCCTCCCCACCTCCCAGGAGTGCTGGGCACTGCTAGTGGGGTCTTGCCAGTGTGCAGGACCCCATCTCCCAGAGGGGCTAGAAATGCGTTGGTGGAGAGGTGTGCTGCAGCCTCGGCCCGGAGCCGGGGGCCCGGCTGTGGGGGGCATGGGTGAGAGCCTTCAAGGCTGTGTGCACGAGGGTGTCTCAGGTCTCCGTGACCGTCCTGTCTAGGGCATGTCTCCCAGGGCCCTCCTTCCGGCCTCCCTGCCTGACCAGTCACTCTGTGCAGTCCAGGGGCCCCAGTGCTGTCGCTCAGCCCTGCTGAGTTCTTGCAGGACGGCGAGCAGGCTGAGAGGCCTCAGAATGCTGCCTGAGGTCACAGTTGGGGTGGGGGCTGCTGGGACGGCCTCCCCAGCACCTGGCCCTCAGCGCACAAGTGCACCGGCCGCAGCACCCTGTTGTGTTCGGCTCTTCTGATAACCCCAAGAGCAGCAGGGGAGAGCTGTGCCTGTGTCTGGATTCACTTCTGATCACGGGCCACTCGGAGGATGCCAGGGCCCCGGGACACCAGGTTGGGAATGCTCCCTGGCCTTGAGGCCCTGTGGCTGGTGGGAGGGCACTTGTGGGGGCAGGGCAGAGGCCCAGAGGCAGGTGTCCCAGGACACTTGTCCCAGGCACTGCTGAGCAAGCAGAAGCCTCTGTGACCGCGAGCAGCCTGGGTAGGGCCTGCGGGCCTGGCTGCACGGGGAGGGGCTGTCCCACAAAACCTGGATGTGGGTCCTGGTCCTGCCTCTTACCCTGAGCAGGTGGCCTCACTCAGTGCCAGCAGGGAGGGAGAAAGGAAACAGAAGCCCCCATGTCGGGGTTGCGGGCAGTGTAGGGTCCTCACTGGGCCCAGCCTCGGGCAGCTGGCTCTGGCCACCCAGTGCTGCTCAGCGGGGCGGGTCAGCGCCTGCCACCAGCTCACTGCCCTGCCTGTGCCCCCGTAGGACCAAGATGCCTCGGGCGTCTCCCCACTGCACCTGGCCGCCCGCTTCGGACACCCAGTGCTGGTGGAGTGGCTGCTCCACGAGGGCCACTCGGCCACGCTGGAGACACGGGAGGGGGCCTTGCCGCTGCACCACGCTGCGGTCAGTGGGGACCTGACCTGCCTGAAGCTCCTGACAGCTGCCCACAGCAGGTGAGGAGCCCAGGACCCAGCCGGGGTACACTGGCTTTGGGGGAGGCTGCACGGGCAGGTGGCCCTCGGGATTGGCCCTGGGGACAGGCACCGCGGGAGAGTCTGGAGCAAGAGTGAGGGCAGGAGCGCCACAGGCCATGGCTGCGCGGCACCCGGGGCGTTGCTATGAGGCCCAGAGCTCCCGGCCCCGCAAGGGGCATCTCAGGGCCTGAATTAGCTGGGGAGTGGACAGCTGGTGACATCCATGGGCCTCCTCACGTCACCTGACAGGAGCAGGGTTGTTTGGTGGACTTGGGGCCCCAGGGCACCCGTCAGGTTGGGCTGGATTGGCCCTCTGCACGGCCCATGCAGGCCAGCGGGACTTCCCTCCCCCTGGACCCTCCTCTTCCTTACCCCGCACAAAGGGTCGCCACTGTCATAGTAATGGGCCCTTCACCTTCCCACCGTCGTGTGCCCAGGGCTGCTGTCCTGGCCCAGGGTGGACCTTCTCGTCCACCTTCCGCCTTTCTCGCTGGGGGTGGGGGTAGGGGCGGCGACCTTCCTGCCTCTAACCACAGCTCTCCTCTTTTTGAGGATGTCTGGCTACCCCGGCCACCCTGGCCACCCCATGTTTGTTTGGGGACAAACCCTGGAGCTCCTTTAGGAAGTGTTCTTATTCCCAGGTATCCCCGTTCTGGGCTGTTTGGGAGAGGCCTCCGGGGTGCGCTTCTGTAGCTCTTCCCCAGAGCGCCCAGAGCGCCCAGAGCACCCCCACCGCCCCGGGCCTGCCGGCCACAGAGTGGCTCTCATACCCCAGCTTTGAAAGTAGCTTCCACCAGTGAAAACCGGGCAACTTCACGTTAACACACACTCATGCCACACAAGTGGGACGGTCCTGTGCCCCTGGCCCGCATTCCCACCTGGCACTGACACAGGAGCCGAGCGGTGGCTGCCCCTGAACAGGGCATGCATGTTCCGGTGGCCCCGCTCCCCGGCCACCATGCTGGACGCTGCTGTCCTAACCCTGGTTCCAATCAAGACCCCGGCAGAGTCTGCTGAAAGCAGCATGGACCCTCCCACCGAGCAGGCACCAGGGCACACGCTCAGCCCTCCGGGGCGCATTCCAGGAGGGAGTGGACCCTCAGGCTCTGGAGGCAGAGCAGGCGTGTGGTGGGTCCAAGGCCAGGGCTGCCTGCCAGGGCCCTGAGCCCCCTTGCTAGGGCAGAGGCGAGCACAGGCTAGTCTTGGCAGAATCCCCTGGGTGCAGGGGTTCAAACCCAGGCATGACCCTTGGGCAAATCATCCAGCTCAGCCTGTTTCCCTTCTGCCGGCTGAGGCCTGTGTCTGGGCTTGGCACGGCCGAGCGGCCAAAGTGCTCCTCTGTGTGGGTCCCGGAGTTGCCGGGATTCGCCCGTCGGGAGTGGGGCGTGAGTTGCAGGGGCACTCGTGAGAACACGCCATTACTGACCCGCCTCCCCCACCGGCTGGAGGGTCTGGGACAGGCTGGGACTTGGTCAGCAGCCTCAGAGGACAGGCACACTCAAGCCGGGAGCGCCGGGGAGCGGAGGGTCACTCGGCCCCTGTGCTCCACGTGGGCCTAGCACAGGCCGCCGCAACCACCAGGCAGCTGCTCGGCGGCTGGGGGTGGGGGTCAGCTCTGTCTCTACTGGGACAACTGAGGATTTGGGACCCAAGGTTGTAACCCTCTCAGTTCTAAAAAGATAGACAATTGTAACCTGGACCCAGGAGTCCCAAGGAGAGGAAAGGGAAAGGAGGCCCCAGGCACGATCGCCTGAGCCCCAGCCAGGGTGGGGGGACCCCAGAGCAGCAGCTGGAAGGCCCTGGGGAAAGTCAGTCCACAATGGGCAGAGGCGGGGGCAGGGGTGAAGTTGCATCACCCAGGGATGGGCTCATGTTTGGGCAGGGGACCGGCCCTCCCTGTAGCTGGTCGCTGGGCACCAAGGGCACACCTGGGCCCAACAGCCTGAGGGCAGAGCGGGATGCAGGAAATCCCCAAATGCTGTTCCGGCCTATCCTTGCTGGGGACTGGAATCTGGGTGCCCACAGCTCCTGTCCTACTCATAACGGCCCCTTTTTAAGAGCAGGGCCCTGGGGCTGGGCAAGGTTCAGGGACCTGTCCAGCTGTGGGCCTCACTGTACTAGCCAACCCTAAAACGCGTCCCCTGCCCATGAGCCCCAGCTTGATGGGAAGTAGGCGGAGCTGGATTCCCTTGAACAGTGCACAGCCTGTGCAACAGGGCAGTTGGGCATAAAGAGTATAGCCAGGTGCCCAGGCCACCCTTCCTCTCCATCAGGGGGCCTTCACTGGAGCAACCCAGACACCCATGACCTCCTGGCCAAGTACCCTCTGAACCCTCCCTCCCCTGCAGCGGCGTGAACCAGCGGACACGCAGTGGCGCCTCCCCACTCTACCTGGCCTGCCAGGAGGGCCACCTGCACCTGGCACAGTTCCTGGTGAAGGACTGTGGCGCTGATGTGCACCTGCGCGCCCTTGATGGCATGAGCGCCCTGCATGCCGCTGCCGCCCGAGGCCACTACTCGCTCGTCGTCTGGCTGGTAAGGGGGCACCAGGAGTGGGAGGGGGGACGTCCAGGAAGTCCGGGCCCTGGAGCAAGCAGTGCCTGGGGCCTGGGTGGGAGCTCTCCCGGGAGCTGGGGACACACAGGACTGCTGGGGCGTCAGATGTGCCAGCCTATGGTCCCCAGGCCCCTGAGCGCCCGAGAGGCTGGGCCCCAGAGCCTGACGCCTGTGCTGCCCCTCTGCTCTGACAGTTCCTCCAGGCCCTCCCGGCCCCTCCCTCCCCCAGGAGGCCCAGTGGGTCTCCTGGGCACTCTCAGGGTTGGTGACACCAGGGCTGCTCTGTCACCAGTGCCTGTAGCAGCAGAGCCTAGCCTGGCCCACTCAGCCACTTGCTCAGACCCTGATGCCTCAGAGCCCTGGGCCTGTCCCCATCCCTCGTCCCTTCTGGACCCTGGAGGGGCCATTCAGGCCTCTTTTGGGAAGGAAGCCCTGGGACCTAGGGCACAGAGTGGCTGGGGTTGGAGAGCTGCCTCCTTAAAGGATGGGCCGGGGGCTTCCTACCTCCACAACAGAAAACCGGAACAGGTGGTTTGTCTGGGAGTTCGGAGGGTCTGCCATAGAGACCCGATGGAGTTTAAGAGTAGGGAGGAGGCCGGGCGTGGCGGCTCACGCCTGTAATCCCAGCACTCTGGGAGGCCAAGGCGAGAGGATCACCTAAGGTCAGGAGTTTGAGACCAGCCTGAGCAAGAGCAAGACCCCACCTCTACTAAAAACAGAAAAATTAACCGGGAGTCATGGTGAGCGCCTGTAGTTCGAGCTACTCCGGAGGCTGTGGCAGGAGGATCACTTGAGCCCAGGAGTTGAGGTTGCAGTGAGCTATGATGACTACACTCTACTTGGGGACTGATTCTGTCTCAAAAAAAAGAGTAGGGAGGGCCTCCCTGAGAAGGTGACGTTGGGGGCAGCGCTGAGGATGGACAAGAGGTGGCTGGGCAAGGGCTGGGGCCCAAAACCAGTTCCCGGAGGAGGCACCAATTATTCAAAGGTGAGGAAAGCCTTTCCACGTGCTGTCCCCTGAGCCTGGCATGCAGGTCCCCAGGTGGCAGCCGCCCACCTGGCACTGTCCCCTCTCCTGTTCTTTCCCTCCACGGCACCCACCCCTGACAAGATGCAGTTTGACTTCTTTACCCTGTGAGGCCCATCTCCACCCCTGGAGTGGAGCTTCCAGATGCCCCACGAGAGCAGGTTTCAGGAGGGGTTTCAGGAGACACTGAGTGAGTGGACGGGACGAGTAGAGGAAGGAACGGGGAGGCCCCCCACCCCAGGACGCGTCCAGCTGCTCACCTTGGTCCCGACGACGCCAGCCTTTGCCTCCAGCCTCCCTTTGTGGCACCTGGAGCACCCACCTGCGTGCCCCGGACGTCAGCCCTGCCCCGGCTGTGCGGCCCACGCCTCAACTGCGGTTCTGACCCATTCACCCCGGCCTGGGCCCCTGGGTGCCTGGTCGGTCAGCAGCTGCACAGGGGACAAGCAGCAGCAGCTCAGGGCAGGGGGGTTCCCGGGGGCAGGGAGCAGGGTGTCCACTGAGCCCCTCTGGCTGTGCTGAGGTGTGAGCGTCCATTCTGGGGAAGAAATAGCGGAGCCTGAGTTCCCGGGCCAGAAAGTCTGTTTCAGACATGAAGCCCCTCGACAGCCTCCAGCCTGGCACCCTGACTCATGGGATGTGCGCCCTGTCCCTGCCTTTGTCCCCAGCTCACTGTCCTGGCCCTGACAAATACATTTGAGTGTTGAATCAGTCAGGAACGCTTTGGGCTACAGGTGGTGAGCGGACAGCACAGACAGGGCTGCCCCATCCACGTAGAAGGGGGCAGGGCTGCTGTCATCTCCCAGGTTCTCGTGGAGAAAGTTGGCCGCACTCAAGGCAGGGAGCAGGGAGAAGAAGGGAGACACCGCATCCCTTGCCGCCTACCAGGAGGGCAAATCTAGCAGACCCCTGGTCTTGCTGGCAGGGCCCGTTTCAGCGAGTCGGCCGCAGGGGAGGCCCTGGGAGGCAGCACTGCAGGCCCGGCAGAGGGGCGGCCTCAGGTCAACCCAACTGCCTGGCTCCACTGCAGGCTCCTGAGGGGGGACGCCGCGGGACCCACGGCCCAGTGACATCTCTGCGCCGGCACCGGGTGCAAATACCCGGGGGATGCAGCACTGCCTGGATGCCAAGTGGTGTCCTTTCCTTCTCTCCCCCTTCCTTCATCAGCAAACATTTGTGTATTGCCCCCCCGGTGCCAGGTGTGGCGTTTTTCATTTGACGTGATGTTGGTTTGAGACTTGGGACTGTTGCATCTCCAGATAAAACCACGGTGCTCACTGTGCCCCCACCTGGACCCCGATGTCCCACTGCCCGGGGTTACAGGGGACATGTGTGATGAGCTGGCTCTGTCCGGGGGCTTCCGGAGGTGGGGCACAGCTAAGGCCGCCCCGCCTTCTGCTCCGAGCCCCGCCCTGGACCCTCCTCCCCGTGTGACCACTCCGAGCCCAGCCTCAGCTGGCAGGTCCCTCTCCCTCCCCAGGTCACATTCACCGACGTCAGCCTGACGGCGCGGGATAACGAGGGAGCCACAGCCCTCCACTTCGCGGCCCGAGGCGGCCACACACCCATCCTAGACCGGCTCCTGCTGATGGGGGCTCCCATCCTGAGGGACGCGTGGGGCGGAACCCCCCTGCACGACGCAGCAGAGAACGGGCAGATGGAGGTAAGGGGCACTGATCCTCACAATGCCCTGAGAATGGGGTGACGCTCCCTCTACAGACGAGTAAACCGAGGCTCAGAGGAGATCGGGTGGCAGGATCCACGATCCGTGCTCGTCCTATGAGCAGAGCAAGCCAGGGCGTGATGGCAGCCCCTTCGCTATTTTTGTTTTTTTTTTTTTTTCTGAGACAGAGTCTCACTCTGTCACTCAGGCTGGAGTGCAGTGGTGTCGTCATAGCTCACAGCAGCCTCAAACTCCTGGGCTCCGGCGATCCTCCTGCCTCAGCCTCCCGAGTAGCTGGGACTACAGGTGTGAGCCACTGTGCCCAGCTAATTTTTCTAATTTTTGTAGATACAGGGTCTTGCTATATTGCTCTGGCTGGTCTCAAACTCCTTGGCTCAAGTTACCCTTCCACCTCAGCCTCCCAGAGTGTTGGGATTACAGGCGTGAACCACTGCACCCGGCCCCCTTTGGTATTTAAATGAATCTTGGGGCTCACGTGGCACCCAGAAGCCCAGCGTGGGTGGGGTATTCAGATGCTCTGCACTGTCGGGTCCGGGCCCAGCCTTGGAGAATGGACTGGCCCCTGCACTGCTGCCCACCTAATGCCGCCTCTGCCAAGGGGAGCCCACACCTCAGGGCAGCGCACACGTTTGCTTCTCCCCAACCCATCCGGCCCTGCTGGCGGCGGGTCAGTTCACCTCCGCTCACTCTCCCGGTTGCCCGTGTTGTTCCGAAGCTCCCGGGGCTGGGCTGCTGCAGTCTGGAGCTGTGAGACGCGTGTCCTGGCCCAGGCAAGACTGGTGTGTAGAGGGGGTACCACTGGAGATGCAGCTGAGCACCCCATTCTGGGTCTAAGGGTCTGGACAGTGTTCAGAACCCCTGGTATTCCTGGGCCCCAATGGCCCAGTCTCAGCAGTGTCGTTGAAAGAATCACACGCAGGGCAGTGACAGTTGTTGGAGGGCATTCATTGGGTGCTGAGTTGCACCTTCTGAAGAACGCAGAGGACGCACAATACGCGCTCACGCGGTGCGGCCAAGATCGCTTTCTCTGCCTCCCCAGCCTCTCCGTCCTGAGGCCCCGCCACTCCTCTTCTCGCCTGTCCCTGAGGCCTGCACAGCTCACAGCCCCGTCTCTGTTTACAGAGATGGGAAGTGGGAGGGGTGGGAGCCACAGGCCTGCAGAGAAAAGGAAGGTCTGTAAACCCCCGCACGGAAACCCTCCTGGCCCTGCGTCGCTGAGAGAGAGGAGGCGCCAGGGCCAGTGGAGAGGCGCGTGGCGAGAGGGGGCGCCGGCGTGGGTGGCCTTGTGGCCGCAGGTCTGGGTAGGGCCGGCAGGTACGTCCCTGACTGGCAGTGGTGGCGGGTAGAGCCCTGAGCTCGGGGCTGGTGGCCCAGGCAGGCCCCCCCCAGCCCCACCCGGGAGACCCGGGCTCCCTTTATCGGGGCGAAGCGGCCCCAGGTTTCAGACAGTTTTTAAGCAGGAAGATCTTTTCTCAAATGAAATAGTCTGCAGGAGCCCAGGAAGTTTAACAGATAAGCCAGAGTCCTCTCACCCTCCCTCAGCGTAAAATATAATTTAAGCCTCAAAGCAGAGAACTTTCCTTTTAAATCTTATTATGGCATTCAAAGCACTCAAAGGTGTGTGTCATCATCGACTCACGGCTGAGCTGGGTTGTCTTTATTTAGCCCCCCGCCCCCA